CCCCAAAACCCCAAAACCCCAAAACCCCAAAACCCCAGCATATAAGATTTCGGATGAATTAATTATAAATATGGCAAAAGGCATCCTGGCAAAAGCGTCCGGTTTCGTGACTGACAGAATAAAAGGCTTCGATATGTAAGCATTCAATGTTGTTTCAGGAGGGAATTAAGCTATAGGTATCCCACATCCATCAACTTCACATTCGATGGCCAAGAGTAAGTGAGATTAAATCGTAATTTGTGATGAACAAGAGAGAAATATGTTCTGGTCATCAAGAAACTAGGCTACCTAGGGGCTTGATCTTATCTATGATTTAGAGAGTTCAAGACTTTGATTGGAGGAGTGGTTTCAATAGTAATCAAGGTCATCATTATTCTCTACTCTTATCTCATGCTCAGAATTATGATTGGTAAGTGTTCTAGAATTTTTGGCTTTGGCTATTTTTATTCAATCTGAATAGAAAGAAAATAATACTCAGAAAAGTGTGAACACTGTTGTAACAGGTAAGACTCTTGCTCATTTTTAGATATTTTAAATGATAAATCTCCTGTGCATCTCAAGTATTTATCAAACTTATTTGTAGCACTTCGGATTTTTCATTTGCTTTCAATGGGATCATAGAAGGAGACAACTCATTTGACTTACTCGATAACCCATATGTATCGGTTGAGCTATTCCAGTGGGTCAAGAACACAAGTAAGATAAAATTAGCTGAGATGGAATATACCTTCTCTTTAGCAAAGCTAGGAAATATCTGATCTTCCATCTAGCAACTGGAGACTTCGATAGCACTGATATTCCGATGGTTAGATGAGAAAAGACCTTTTTCAAATTCTATAATCAGACAGAGGTACACTTTGTAAATCATTGTAGGTTGAAAAGCTTGGGATTGAAGACTATATTTGTCCTCAGAACAGGAACTTCCTTATCCAAGGGAATAGTTTATCTGAAGACTTTCTATACCTCGAGCTAAATATTGACAAATGAAAGACAGGCTGCCCTGCTGATTTAGACACTGTACTCAGTAAAATTAGGATGGAAATACCTTTTGTTAATACTTACTTCAACTTTGATGACTTCAATAGCCCAGTGAAGACCTATATCGACGGAAGGCTTACCTTCGACCTGCTGCCTGGGTACCTCATCCGGAATGATGTTTTCATTCAGTAAGAGTTTGGGCATAATCTTCAGGAAAAACGAAGCAGAGTATTTAGACAGTTACTTCGCATATCAGCCAGGAGGGACTAAGAAAGAGTTTGTTGGGGTCGACAGAGTCGACCAAAGACTAGCTGTTCAGCACGATTCAGTGAGCGAAACAATTTTTAGTAAAAGAGAATGATGACTTTAGAAATGCAATTCGTCAAGGATGAAGCCACCAAGTCTTTTGAAAGGACAGTGTTTAGTTTCATGGAAGCCTTTGGAAATATTGGAGGGCTTTTTGAAATTATAGAAATTGCAGGAGGGTTCTTTGTTGGAGTTTTTTCAGGCAGAATGTTTTTATTTACGATCCTGTCACATCTCTATCAGATTGAAGCACCTGACGATAGAGAAGGTTAGTCAAAAAAAATTTAAATATCTTTTAATTTTTTCATTTTTGGTATTCGTATTGTTCTGAAACAAAGGAATAAGATTTTTAATCAAATATTATTTATAGAAATTAATCATCGTTCCAAAAGTATCAGAATGACAGGTACCTCATTAGACATTTACTGAAGCCATTAAACATGGATACTCATCATGATTAAAATCCCCATCTCCCAAAATGTCGGAAATGTTCTCTCCTTTATCATCAGAAAATTTTGAATCCTGATATTTAGGTTAATTTATTCACTTTCGTAAGCTTTAATATAATGAATACTAAAAAGACCTTGATAAGTCAATGAACCCGAGGATGCTTCATCCGATCATATCTCTACTTCTCTTCTCCCGATGTAGATGTTTCATTAAGGAAGTTTCATCGAGGAAGTTTCCTTCATTTTGGCTTTCTGATAAGTTTGGGAAATATCCAGATAAAAAATAAAGGTTTTAAATTTTAAAAGTACTTAATTGTATCTTTGAAAAGCAGAATCTTACTTGTCTAGGTGCTAAAATGGTACCGCGCTTAGATACGCACAAATTTGTATCATAAGCAAGGATTTTGTAGCAACTCTTGTCAGATACTAAGAGCAGAGTATTCCTACCATCCTTTATCCAATATTTGCATTTTTAGGAAAACTTATGGGTTTAGAAATCCATTATTTATCAGAAAATTTCGAAGAGTGAAGTTACCATAAATCCACTATAAATCTGGATATTTCTAAAATTCGTATTCAGATATTAAAATAATATTTTATATACTTTTTATTTGAATACTTCCATATCAAGGAAAGAAGCTTATTAAGTACCATTTACTATTAATAAGATTTATCTAACTTTTAATGATTTAGGGCAAAACATAGATTCAGTAAGTCGTAGACTCTCATATTTAGAGTCGAAATTTGTCACTAAAGGACAGTCCTATGCAGCACCAGAATTTAATATCAAAACAAAAGATGATTGAGAAAGCTCATCAAAGAATGAGAAGTTTAGTTAGGTACGACTATTCCTTCATGGACTTCCTCTTCTCCATCCTCAACAACATACCCTGCTTGTTTGTGTGTTGTTGCCGAAGCAAAAACAGACTGCATCTGAAGAAGAGGAACTCTTTATTCAACAAAGGTGGCGACAAATTTATCAAAGAGTTCGATGCCGTCCGCTACGCAAAGTCAATGCGTGAGGTACAGACGCTACTCAAGTCCATGATCGATGACAAAGAGCGGTTCATAATACCATATCAGAAGTGTAACAGTATTGCAATGCATTCAGAAAGCGATAGTGATCATGGAGACGACAACTATGCCAAAGTCCCTAAGATGTTTGCAAAATCGAAGATAAAAGAGCTCCACAGGGCAGAAGTTGATGAATTCATGGTAAGACTCTCTCTAAACTTCAGGAGGAATATTCTAAAGAGAATTGGTCGGATAGAGACTATCGGCTTGTAAATGGAGTTATTGCTTCGACTAATATAGCAGGTAATGCTCTCCCATTCATCTCCATAGACTCAGATTTAGCAAAGGTGATACCTCAGACAAGAGAGAACAGTAAGTTATCTCCTTTTGGCACTTGTTAACTTCAAATTTTACCTAAGAGGTTGATTTACGATTATATAGGAAAGCATGAAAATCAAGAAATCGAATTTGAAGATATAAACCCTAATATTGAGTTTGAGTAAGCTTTATAATTCCTACCATATTTCAACCTCTAGGGAATCTAAAATCATGCACCCTGAGTTTCATGTTGGGAAGAAGATCAAGCCTCCCCTCACAAAGGACCTAAGTTTCCCTGAAATGGATTAGAATGAATATCCAGTGGAAAATAATATCTCAATGTTGGTGAAGAAGGCTGGGGTTTTGGGGTTTTGGGGTTTTGGGGTTTTGGGGG